CGATACTAGTTATGCGATTGCGTTGTAAACATTGTAAAATTAGGTGGATACCCGGAAAGGTTCCCTTTGATGCGGAGTCGACTTAATAACAGGCTCAATGCACAATCCCATGTACCAAGTAATAATTTATATCGCGAGACACGGCTTAGACGGCATCCTCTCCCACTTCGATGTTAATAATAGTTTTATACGTCCAATCTCCATCCTCTATTATGCTTATCCGAAACGTTCGAGTGAAGCTTGCGATTATACTCTCGACGACAATTTATGAACATCGTGGTCAGTACTCTGTAAACAAAGCATCAACCGCGCGCTTTACACTTGCCCATTAAACCTGCAATCAAGAGCTGAAAAATCGACCGTTGAAAAGAAGGATACAGTATTTATTCTTTTAATAAAGTCAATACTGTATACATTGATCAAAAAGTCTGAGAAATTTTATCACTTTTTCTACGTTATCTTTGTTACGATAAATAATTGGAAAAGGGACACAAAATTCTAAACTTACTTATTTTTGTCAACAACACGATCGTAGAATATAAGAAATATTTTCTAGTGAAATATTTTAAAAAATTTATGACTTATTTCTTGTGAAATTACTTATTACACTTCACTGAATTCAAAGAAAATAATTTAGATAATTATCAAGATAAAATATATTTTAAAAAATTATATATATATATATTTATATATATTTATATATTTTTATATATAATTATATATATATTTTAAAAAATTTATGACTTATTGTGAAATTACTTATTACACTTCACTGAATTCAAAGAAAATAATTTAGATAATTATCAAGATAAAATATATTTTAAAAAATTTATGACTTATTGTGAAATTACTTATTACACTTCACTGAATTCAAAGAAAATAATTTAGATAATTATCAAGATAAAATATATTATATTACATATATATAGTATATACTATAGCATTCATATAATAAAGTATATACCATATATATCCATTTTTACATTTTTTGCCTCCATTAATTCTTGAAATTAGTTTTGAACGTATCAAATAACAAACTGTTGAACGAAACCTGACACTTATCTTTACCATTATTTTAGGCACGCATCGATGGTTTTGCAGAGGTCACCTTCATAAACAAACGTCCAAATTCGAATTCAAACTGTGGTGGCTAAAACGGACACATTATTCCGTGCCAAATAAAAAGAGAACGAGCACGAAAGAGACGATGTAAACGTGTGATCATGGAGGATACAAAGTTT